TCCAGTAATGGTCATGTTTATTTGAATTTATTTTTAGTTAAATTAATAATTCATGAATATTGTAGGTGAAAAATATATATCAATCTAGTTATATGTATAATTATTGGAGAGAAAATAATGTAGTAGCATATTGAAATTTATGTTGTGGATGCCTTTTTTATTGCAAGAATGTTTAAAAATATATATATATATATATATATATATATATATATATATATATATATATATATATATATATATATATATATATATATATATATATATACAGTCATGGTTTTTTAATTTTTTTAATTTTGGAAATAATGAAATAATATCTTGATAAAAAGTTTGGCCTCAATCGATTTCATCATTTTGAATACCATTGGAGTAAGTTTGTCGATTTGTGAACTCCTAGATAGATATTCAATTGGATAAGTACCATAAAACTCCTAGGTGCTAAAAAGAGAACTGTAATAAATCTTTTTATATTTATTTTGTAGTATAAAATTATTATTTATTTTATTTTGCACAAAATAGATTTCCTCATCTAATTCACACAATAAATATACATATGCATTTCATTTTATAAAGATTAAAAAAATGGGAGAAGACAATTTTACGAATTAATTATACGTATATATTACGCTTAAGCAAGTTAGACCAATTATTTTTTTTCTTGAGAGACCAAAAAAAAAAAAGACTAATTACAGCAATCCTGCCCTTTTTGTTTTTGGATAATTACAAACACCCCCTCAACTATGTATTATTCGGGAAAAAACCCCTCATTTAGTAGGTAAATTTGACACCGCAAGTGGTGGACATGTAAGACAATACATAGTGGAGGGATCATTATAATTACCTAAACAGGAGGGAGTTTTCGTAATTTGGTCTTAATTTAGAGCGTTGGCTGTAATTCGCCAAAAAATAAAATTAAAGTAATATAGTAATTAATCTACAATAATAAAAGAAGTTTTTGAATAGTGGGGAGAAAAAATGAGTAATAAAAAAAGGCCAAATGGAAGGCATCTTATATAATTTTTATACTTAATAATGTGAGTAAGGCGTGGGAGAAGCTAATTAAGACAAGTGAGTGGCCAAACCTTTCATGTCAAATTCAGCATCACTTTAGGGGAAATTTATATATACTCTTTGCTCATAAGTGAAGTCACTCACTTTGCCCACATTAATTTATTTATAACATGTCAAATATCACACCCACATACACATATATGCACGTCGTTCCTGAGAAATTAGGGGTCCTAGACGAGTTTTATGAATTTATAAAAATGGGATTCTATTTATATTGTATAATGTACACTAGTTCGTTCTAAAACGAGCAGATTGGACAAGAATTTTTTCAACTTACCGAAACTCTTTGATGTTAGAGATAAGCAATGTAGATTATTAAAGAATGCAAAGATTGGTGAAAAAAAAGTTTAAGATATTGAAATAGATAAAAATGTTGATAGAAGAATTAATTCAATATCTAACTAATTATGATTGGTCTAAAAGACATTTCATTCACACCAAATGCAAGAACAAATGTAAAAATTTCCATCAAATACTTAAAGTATGCAAAATAATTTAGTTATGGTTATTTAAATTGTTGAACTATGTAAAATTTTGGGGACTCTATTTTTTTCAAAAATCAGGTGCCCGACAGAATCGCCTCTCTCACCTATAGTCAGAAGGAACACTGGATATAAGTATACATATACACACAGGAATTAGTAAAAATGAATTGAATTGTCTAAAGATGTAAAATAGTGATGATCGACAAATCATGTACTAGTTAATGTCTTCATTGACATCGTGTATTGAGGCCATGACTCTTCCCACTTCTAAAAAGAATATTCCATTAGTTCATATCGAAACTTGTTAATTTTTAAATAATATTTTTTATCCCTGACAATTTGTACACCAAGCATGAGCTTTCTTTAAGAAGAGGCAACACTAGTATTAATAACTAAAACCATTTCACAAATTAAAACTAAATGTATTCTAAAATAAATGAAAATTTCAACAAGCCATCTCTATCGAATAATGCATTTGAAGTCTTATGAGAAGGGGGCCGATAACGCTATTATACAAAAAAAGTTTAAACCGTTACATAAAATAACAGGGATTTGAGAAATATTGAGGGGCCATGGCCCCCTCGGCCCTATGCTGGCTCTGTCACTGGTGTGAGTGGTTGGTGGTGAAAGATGCAATGAATCTCATAACAAATATTGTTAGCAACTTTTGATCTATGTTGATTTGTAGTCCAAAACAATAAGCACTTTATTCACTTGTCGCCTCACTAAAGAGGATTTATCAATATGCAATAATAGGAAATGCACTTATTAGCCACTTACTACCACTTTCCCTTTTTTCTTAGCATTATTCAATTAATAAGGGAAGAAAGACATTTTGTTTGTTGTTTGGTGTAACCATCTTAACAACCATATTCTATTTAAAAAAATTTAGTTAACTTTTATTTTTTTGTTTATATCTTATACTTAATGACCATTACTATATAAATCACACCCATATGAAAATAATCGACATTTTACAAAAACCATCACATTTAATGTTTGATTTATTTACTAGATTTATCCTTCTATATTTTTAATTAAAAATTCCCTCTTTATTTTATTTATTAAGTTATTTTATTTTACTTTATATAATTCAAATATCCAATTAGACCAAGTGGTGAGGGTAGATGACCTTTCCCTAGTTCCTTCATCATATAAATTCGAATACCATTGTATTTTATTTACACTTGGGATTAGGGGTGTAAATCGGACGGATCGAATCAGAATTAGCCCTTTCAGAAAAAAAATGATTTTTTTTTCGGACTGAAAAACTAGTTCCAATTATGTTTCAAAAAATTGGAAATCGGAATTTTGGAAATTGGAACGAAAAAACTTGTTCCAAAATCTGAAAATTGCGGATTGAAATCTGCGGAATACGGAAATTTCCAATTTTTTGTCACCTAAAATATAAAGTACATAATAATAATATTAGATTTTTAAGTGTAATATTGAGGAAAAAAATCAGAATTTTCGGAAGTTAAATCAGATTTGAAATCGGAATCTCATATATATTTCAATTTGGATCAAAATAATTTCGGAAAAATCACAAGTCGGAATTCCAATGAAAACTATTGTTCCGAAATCGGACAGTAATATTCGATCGATTCAAAGAACCCACAGTTTAAACTTATGTGGTCCTTAACTTTCTTGTGCTTTATCACTTTCCACACGCAGAAACATTTTCATTTCTATTTTATAAGTTACATGTTTTTGTTTATACATTGTTAAAATAGCAAGAATTTACTTAAAAAAATAAAATAAAAGAAGTGGTCTAATAAATAGCCGAATATCCAACCTCTGTGTAAAATATAGTTTATCTGAATGTTATTTTTTTTAGAACAATTTATTTTTTATTTTTAATAAATATATAATATAATATAATATAATATATTGGTCCTAGTTGCTGTGTATAGACGTGCCAACACTAAACTCACTCATAATTCCTAACTGGTATAAAGGGAACAAGAATTGGGAATATTGGAAGACAATGTACAGCTAAATCTTGGCATAAAAAGCCGGCAATTTATTTAATTTAATTTACTTTAATTAGCAAGTGTGAGCCGAGCCGGGCCGAGCCGAGCCGAGCCGGAATGTCAACCTTTATGCTTGTGAGTTGTTGTACTTGTGAGCAAAGGCCGGCCGGCACTCTCTCACTACACTTCCATGCTTAGCTAATTACTACTTGCCATAAACTTGTGACTTAAAGTTTCTACTTTTCTTGTGAAACATACAACTGGCTTCCCAATGCTTATACAACAACAATTAAATAAATCAAAAAATAAAAACTTGTTAATATATTACATTTAAGCCCTTCATAAATGAAATACATTATATTTACACCCCCAGAGCATTTTTGTCCCAATAATAGTGTAAAATTGGAAATTTGGATCGTTAGTGTTAACTCCAGTTCGGGTTTTTATGCAGATAAGGGTAAAATTGGAAATTTAAATCGAATATGCTATGATATCTTAGAGATTCGTTAATGTTCACCCCGATAAGATTTTCTCTTTATAAGACGGAATATACGTGAGGGGTGGTTTGTAATTGACAAAACAAGAGGATTTTTTTTGGTAATTTGGTCTTAACTCCAGGGGTTATCGTCATTGATCGCTGTTGTTGTTGCTATTATTATTTTTATTCTTATTCTTATTTACACGATCATATACGTGTACATCATGTATATTTGTAAAACACATATAACTATATACACACGTATAAAATTAGATGTTATCCGATGAACTATACTGAATGTACCATACAATCCGAAATCCATATGAATAACTCTTCAATAGAGTCAACTAACTTAGCTTAGTGGTACCAGGAGCCTCTCCCATAGTAGTGTTTGGTGAGAGGTTGGGGGTTCGAATCTCTTCAGGTGCGTGGATTAGGTACGCCGTACGTGCATTGTAGACCATATTATAAGGCCAATTTAAAAAACAAAAAAAAAAAAAAAAAGCCCTTCAATAAAACCAAAAAAAAAATGTGAATACATCAAAAAATAGATACAAGTTGGTTAAGGAAAAAACACAGCTTTGTAAACTAGATTAGTAGAGAGTAGATGAAGCAAAGAGCAGTTGACAACTAGAAAGGTGGGGCCCATCACCATATACTGTGGATCTTTGTTTTCATTAAATATATTAATAAAAAATACAAAATAAGAAATAAAATAAAAAGATTGGAAAAAGTCCAAAAGAATAACTGCCAAAGAGTGGAACTCCCATCTTTCACTTGGCATTGTGGGCTTCCTTAATATCAAGACAAAGGCAAGAATATATATATATATATATATCTATATCTATATATTTTTATTTGGACAATTAATTAGTTTCTACACTTTGTTATCTTTAATCTCGGCCGTTGGATCGGTCCACTTGGCGAATAGCAGCCGTTGGATGAAGGTGGTGTAGGATTCTCAGTTGGAGTAACATGTGCTACCATCTTTGTTTGCTTTATTTTATCCCTCTTTTTCCAGTGTTTGCTTTCGTGCATGGTTTTCTCCTCCCAAAATTAGTGTGTTTTTAACCGATAATTAAAAAGTTGCATTATTAATTAATTAATTAATTAATTTTTTTTTTAATTTATTCCACTTTTGTCCCTTAATATTGGTTTGTTGTGATGGCCATCATTTGCATCAAAGGTAACTGTCCCTTCTCTCCATAATTTGTTTTTTCTTTTTTTCTTCAACTTTCAACTACCTTATAGCTACTACTACTTCTAGTAAGAGAAACACCACCAATAGAGAGAGAGAGAGAGAGAGAGAGAGAGAGAGAGAGAGAGAGACAAAAAGAGACACTGTCCTTAGTTGCTAGCTAACTCATCTTTCTGCATACTTTTCTTGCTTGTCAGATCTTGCTCTGCACCAGATATTTCATCAAAATCTCTTTTTTTTTGAAGATCATAAAAATTCCCAACATTTTTTTTCTTCGAGCATCTTTTCGATCCTTCTTTTTCGATTAAATTCGACTCGATTATATATATGGAGGAAGACAAAGATCAGAAGCACATATGCAGATTCTGCAGCAAAAGTTTCCCCTGTGGTAGATCCTTGGGTGGTCACATGAGGTCTCACTTGATCACTGTTCCATCGACCGATCATCAAAAAGCGGACGAAAACACCCCCGACAAGAAAAAGAAGACCAAGAAACTCCCTCCACTTGTTAATGGAGGAATAATTCCAATTCCGAAAAAGCCAAACAAGCCCCTAAACTCAAGCGAGGAAGATACTTTGCTTCGAGAAAAGCTCTGCAAGGAATGCGGCAAAACTTTCCAATCTTGGAAGGCCTTGTTTGGCCACATGAAATGCCACTCTGTCAACGGGAAAACACTCGCAAGCTCGAACGCGATGGAGGAATATTCCTCCAACAGCCAATCGGACAACAACAACGAATTAGAAGCATCGGCGAAACCTATGCTGCCGTGTAAGAGAAAGAGATCGTACAGAACGAAAAGGTACACAACGACATCCAATACAAACTCGTCTTCTGTGACCAACACGAATCTATCGTCTTCGATTTCCGAGATCGAAGAGCAAGAAGAACAAGAGGAGGTTGCTCTGAGTTTGATCATTCTTTCGAGGGACAGAGGTGATTGGCGGAGTGGCAATAGCAATTCCGATCGTAGTTCCGATTTTCTTGAACCTAAGAGAGTTGGTAAAGAATTGGAGATCAAAAGCCTACCTATTTCAAGAAACGGGCTCGAGTCGGAAGTTAACTCGCCGAAGAATTTGATCGAGGGAGGCGGAATATTCTTCGAACGAGAGAGGCGAAACAAGATTAATAAGGCGAGAAGGAGTTTGAATAATAATAATAATGTGGCTAGTGATTTCGAGAACAAGAGCAAATGTTTCACGTGCTCGATTTGCAAGAAGGCGTTTTCGTCGTATCAAGCATTAGGCGGTCATCGGGCGAGCCACAAGAAGTTCAAAGGGTGCTGTGCTCCGATAACCGGAAACATGTTCGAACCCGAAAATTCACACAGTCAAGGTGGTAATAATAATAATAATAGTAATCAAAATAATAATAATGATAAGGTAATTGTAAGTGGAAAAAGTAGCAAAGAACATGAGTGCCCAATTTGCTTCAAAGTTTTCTCATCTGGTCAGGCTTTAGGTGGGCACAAGAGATCACACTTGATTGTTAATCGAAATCCGGTTATCGAAAAAACCCGTAATTTTCTTGATCTCAATTTGCCGGCTCCCGATGAAGAAGAAGAAGAAGAATGCAATGAATTCAAGCCGTGGTGGATCGAGCCGAGCCGCGAGCAGGAGCCGTTGCTCGGCTTGCTTTCGAGCTGATGACTTAGCAATAACCTTTTCTCGTCGTCAAAGAAAACGAGTGCAAGTTGTATAGATTCATTGATTCTTTACCAAAAAATCGAAGTTGAGCCCCGAAATTTTTTCCATTACAGTTTTACATATGTTTCTTTAATATGTTGTTATATATCATTTATGAACTATGTAGTATTGTTGATGAATTACTATTTTTTTTACTATTTTTACTATGTGCATTTGTTATGTGGAAGCTAAAATTCAGGAAATCAGATGCTACACCTAGTTATAGTGACTGTATACATAATTACAAACACCCATGAGTCTGTGTATTTAGTGGATAGCTATTTAAAGTCGTCGACGGTTAACAAATATTCCGTAAATAACCAGGTATAGCATCTAACTTCCCCTGAAATTCGGCTGGCTGTAATAATTTTAGCTGGCTGTAATAATTTTAGCTTGCTAGGGAAGGGAAAGTGACTGGTAAACTGACTACCAAGTCATATGAGCAGTTGGTGACAATTTAGTTAATAATAATGTAATAAAATGAGTTTAGCCAACTACCTTGTAATATGACTACTTATCTCATTTCCCTTTCATTTATTAATTAATCTTAATTATGTGTTAAAGTGGTGTAGGTTTATATGTATGTACTTCATTTATTGACCATGACTATAGTGTGGTCATCACATAAAAACCACTTGTAAGTACAATTTCTTTTTTTATGTATTATTTAATTTTTTTTTTAGGTTTGGGTCACACTTTGGTTTTGATGTATATAAACTTATCTAATTTTGTCAAAAGAGGCTATTGTATGCTTTTGAATGAGTTAGGCAGACTTAATCCACAATTTTGACCTAACTTGAACAAGTTATTGTTGCACATTATTAGATTTTTTTGGATTTTGATATTCCAATTCATGACTAGCCACATATAGGGTTTGGAGATATATAGCACAAATTTGGTTTTATAAATTATAATTGAAGTTTACTTTTATTTTGTATCATTGAAATGTAACGTTTTGGTATTTTGCAATCTAAACAAATATTAGTTACATTTTGCACCCTTGAAAAATATGTAGTTGTCGGTTTTAAGTAATTTGGTGAGAACGTGGTAGAAGGATGAAGATAAATTATATTTCGAACGTACGAATTACATTTGCACCATGAAGAGAAATACTATGGGTGGAAAAAAAATGCTAATAACCATGTACCACGGTAAACCAATTGAAAATTACCGAAAATACTATCAATAGAACAGTTACCAATGCATTCGGTACAACATTAGTACCGTCGTACCACTATATTGCGGTACGATAGTGATATTGGATTTTTAATGCCACGGTAATACTGTACCGTACAACAATTTATATAAACACTTAATACCAACTTAACTGACAATTATTAACTTTTACTTTTAAATAAGTTTTTGCAAACACCACCTATACATAACTTTATTCGTAGGGGTGGTAAACGAGTTGAGCCGATTCGTGAGCTTGATGAGCCGGTTCGAAAAAAGCTCGAACACGAACTCGAGCTTTCTGACGAGTCGAGTTCGAGCTTCTTTTAGTTGTTCGTGATCTCGCGAGCCACCTCACAAGCCTTATTTTTTTATATATTTTTTTATTCCTATATATTATTTTATATTTAAATAATGTATAATAATATAAAATAAGTTAAAATAATATAAAAAGAAAATATAAATATTAAAGTATATATATATATATATATATATATATAATTACAGTTTATTCTTTATTTGTAATTTTTTTTATTATAATCTAGGTAATTTTTAATACTAAAAAAAATAGTTAAAAAAAATGTCAAATGAGCTTGGGCTCGAATTCGAGCTCGAGCTTGACAAAATGAACTCGAACAGAGCTCGTTCACACCCCTAATTCTTCGTTAGTTATGAAGTATACTCATTTAAATTTTGATTTTACTTACCTCCAACACCTTTTGTTCATTAATGTATTTAAAAAAGGGGTAATATGCTACAAGTCCCTCAAACGAAACCCAATTTGAACTAAATAACAAATCCAAATTCATTCTTTTAATTAAATCCTTAATTTGAAATAATATATTAGCCACATCCCTAATTTTTTTTATATCCCAATTTTGCCCTTATACCCTAAATTTTCTAACTTAAATATTCACGTTTCTCCTATTCAGTTTTATTTTATTCTTTTGCTATTCTCTCACGTTCTCTCTCTCTCACACGTCTCACACGTTGGCTCCGTTTCTTTTCTCTCTCGTTTTTTTTCTCTCTCACCTCTCCATCTCTAATTCTCTATATCTTTGTTGCTTTCTTCTTCAGCAAGAGGCAAAGGATTGTGGTGCAAGAGACAAAGAACTGTGGTGCACAAGACGGCAATAGGAGGCTGTGGTGGTGGAGGTGCGGCAGGGGGCCGGGCTGTGATGGTCGATGCAAGCCGAGGGGCTGTGGTAGTGGAGGTGCGGCAGGGGGCCGGGCTGTGATGGTTGATCCGAGCCGGGGGGCTGTCCCTCTATGGTGGCCGTGGCGGCGGCTGCGGCTGTGGAGGTCGAGGCAGTGGCGAGTGATTGGTTATGGTGGAAATTTAATAGAAAGTATATTCTTTACTAATTGTATCTGATTTTTTTGATATTCCAGAGATTTTGTTTGATTTGGATTAAAATGGTAAATCTAGGGTTTCTCAAATTTGGTAAGTGACTACGGTTGCGACGGCTGCGAATATAGGCGGCTAGGGTTTGACGGCTACTGCGTTGACGGCTAGGGTTGGCGAGATTGGTGTTGTTGGTTGCTAGGGTTTTGTAGTACACCATACTATATCATAGTACATTGTAGTAGACCATAATCTACTACAGTATTGACAAAAAATAAATTAAATAAAAAAATTGTAGGTTGAATTACAAAAAACGAAAAACGAGTTGTTTTTGTAATTTTCAATATTATGTAGAAAAAAAAGATTTTTTTAATAATAGTTTAATCTAATGCCACAGTATACCATAATATACTACAGTACACCATAGTATTTTTTGAAATCTGCTATATTTTTTAATAAAAATGAAAAATATTTTTTCTACAGTACACCATAGTTTTTGTTGAAATCTGCTGTATTTTTTAATAAAAATAAAAAATATTTTTTCTCGTAATTTTCAAATTGAAAATAAGGAAAAAAAATTGTTATAATAATGTAAAAAAGTAATAATATAAAAAACAAAAAAATAAAGATGAGCGAAAGGGCATTTTTGGAATGAATTTAATAAAGAATATGAAGCAAATGTTTAGTTAAGGTTGTCATTTAGTTCTATTTAGTTTTGTCACGAAGGACCTATCTCTTAAGACCCCTTTAAAAAAATGGGATTCTTTAAGATAACTCTTGCCCTTTCTAATAATGGTAAGTCAAGTCACATTTTCATTATTAGGGATAAATCAGCTTTTCTTTTATTACCCTCCCCGCTATTCACTTTCTATTACCCACTATTTAATGTAATTTTTTGTTTTTTAAATACTTCAATTTTTGTTATTACTTATTTTTTTAAATAATTAAAAATATATATTTTTTAATCTCGTTTGTTTTTTCAACTACAAAATTAACGAAATCAACTCTAATTTTATTTTTCTTTTCTTTTTAGAATTAACTATAAAACCACCATATACAACTACAAAATAGTGGTATTCAACAGCCCAGCCCGTTTACCAAACTGAAATCATCTACAAATTATCAAAATCAACAACAAAAGAGTCGAAATTAATTACAAAACTATCAAAATCAACTACAAAAAAATAGTAGAATCCGAAATCAACTACAAAGTATAAGAAAACGACTATATTGTTTGAGGAATAGGGAGACTCCATACAACATGCCATTTACAATTCCTGCCCCACTACTTGAGCCTTCTCGGCCTCATCGTTGATTCACTAGCTCACAAAAATGAGAAAGATTCCTATGGTAACACAATCTAACTGAGAATTTGCCATTTTTTAAAAAATGCCAAACCCAAATTTCCTTCGGATACCCGTTGCCCACCAGAACAGCCAAGATACGTTCGACCTCCACCTGCCAAAAAACTTCATTTATCAGCTGCAAATTCCAACAATTTGTATTCGACTTTATTAAATCTGAGACCCTATCCGGAAAAAAAACAAGTTACTTGGACGCTTGGTGAAAACCTTAAACCCACCTCTCTCACGAAGCCATAAATCAGCCCATATAGATGTATCGAGACCACTTCCAATTCTTATACGGAGGCCCATCTTCAAAAAAGGAACAATCTTCCATATGCTTCTACAAGTGGCGGATGGTCGAGATCCAACGTTACCGTTAAAGAGATAGCCATGCGGAAAATACCTGGTCGAGATAATCTTTGACAATAACAAATCTGGATTAGTGAAAATCCTCCACGCGTGTTTCACAAGCAACGTGAAATTGAAGGCTTTCAAGTCTCGAAATCCCAATCCTCTTTCTCGAAATTCCATGCGTGCCCCCCCCCCCCAGACAACCAGGCCATGCCCTTATTCTCGCCATTTCCCCACCAAAATTATCGAATTGCCATTTCAATTTATTTAATAAGTCCTTCGAGAAGAAGAAAAACAACTCATCACGTAAATCGGGATAGCCTGTCTGCTTTGATCAAAACTTCCTTGCCCGATTTGGAGAGTTGTTTCTCCCCCCACCCCTTGATCTGGAACCGCAATTTCAATCGGACATAAAATAAAATCTCAACAAATTCCTAGACAACAGGGATTGCATATATCTATTAATCTGTTTTTAATTCAATTTTATTTAAATAATAATGTATCTGATGCCTATGGGTCGGAACATAATTAATAAGGCAATTCGATTCTGCTATTCGGCGCGGAATATCGGATTAATCGGTAGCTTGCGTTGCAAGAAATCATGAAAGGAAGATGCCTTGCTTGGAAAGTGATGAGGAGCCACGACCAGCTACAGGCGATCGAGGGCGAAGCCTTGGCGGCTCCCCAGGCTGTCTTACTAGCTAAAGCAAATGGTTGGACGGAAATTAGTTTTCAGACTAATAAAAAGTTCGCAATCTATAATCTCGTATGAATTCATCTCGAAAGATTAAGACAATTTTTTTTTAAACGATTTCTCATTATGAGAAAAGGTCCACCATAAAAGTTGTAATTCTCATTTGGGAAATATCAATATCTTTGTCAAATAATTCATAATCAAACTTTGATTTTTGATTTCAGAAATATCATATGATTTCATAATTTCATTTATTTTATAATTATTGCATCATTATTGTAATAGAAAACATATACAAGGAGAATAATATATATATTCATATATCCATGCATATCCATAGCAAGGGCAATAATTTATTTAAGCAATGGAAGAAACCGAAGGCGAATGATTCATAGCAGCGTTAATGGCAACATCAAGAGCATCGCGACAACACTTCATACAGCAATTAGGCAACTCTGCTTCGCAACAACTCGGTACAGCATCTGCCACTTGTACGAAAGCCATCCCAATAATAACTGCAACTACAATCACCACAAACGCTACCGATCGCGATTTTGTTGTATCGAATTTCAACATGCCAATTTTTCTTTCTCCAGCCATTTTAGTGTTTTTTATCAACTCCGATGATCCCAATTAATATATATATTTATATAAAAGTTTTGTGTAAAGGTGGTAAGTGATTTACAATATGATTTGATTTTGATTTTTGAAGAGATTTACTCAAAAAATAGTAGGCAACTATAATTGTTCATGTTACTACGTTATATTAGAAGATTGAATGAATATATATTATATACAGAAGAAAGAAAAGAAAAAGAAATCTACTAGTTATTGAGATTTTACTATATATAAAATTAGCATAAAATATGATATAATTAATCTAAGACATTATGTTGATTTTGTTGAGTTTGAATACCACAAATCTCTCTCTCACCCTCCAAATACTGATAATCTTTAGATTGACAACATCTGTTATTAAAATAAAATACCACTACAAAATAAAATTGCTCTCATTGTGATTTAAAAAAAATCTACTTAGCGTGCATTGCAAATGATATAAGGATGCTAAGTGCTATTAATTTTATTCCAAGCTGCAAAATGCCAAAAAAATATATTTAAAAGGTATAAAGTGGAATATGTGCATGTTCAACTGTTAAATAAAGGGGCAGGTCAACAAAGCATTGACTCAACTGCCTTTGGTCTCGTTTACTCTCAAATAATACATTCAAAAATCGAAATAATACGGAGTATTGCTTATGCACATTGATATAACTGGTCTGGTTTGAGTGGAATAAATACCTAATTAGAGTTATATTCTAACTGGAAATAGAAATATATTTTAATTATGATTCTACTATTAATGAATATAAATAAGACTTCAGCCTCATTGTTAAAGGTACGTTCAAACAAATCTCTCGAGTCCTATTGATCTAGTGCTCTCGACTCTATCTTCTGTGCTAGCATCTTATTTGAGTGTTGGAGGGGTTTCTGTCGGATCAACCCCGGCTTAATTTACACGTGTTTTGGTTTTATAGATTTAATAGTCAAGTCTTCCTCTTTGCGTGGTTGGATCATGTGCTCGCGCGCAAGAAACCTACCCGATGTTCCCGTCAAATCTATGAAGGTGATACTTACGCCATCACACATAATTAATCAAATAGTAACTGAAAAAAACAACTTACTTATTTATGGTGTTGCACTTTCAAATAGATAAATTTACAATCACAAGAGCAAAACTTGCAACATCAGTCATATAGTGATTAAATAAAATATATTCTTATTTTTCAGGGATTGAAGAATTAATTGCACGACTTTTAATTATGCGTGAGAATTTAAATTACACTAGGCTAATCATATGTGACAAGTTCGATCCATTGACAATAAGATTTGAACTTGAATTAATTGACATAAGAGCACTTGCTCCAACCACTAAGTCATCCCTTACGGGACTACAAAACCCATTATTACAGTTAAATTATAAATTAATGCAGTCGGGACTAAGAAATTCTATTAATTTAACGAATTATTAAATTATCGAGTTAATAATTTAACACATTTTCACCGAGTCAGAACCGAGAAAAACTATTAATTTATCGAATTTATTAATTTATCGAGGTTCTACTATATGTAGAAGAATGATTAAACTATTTAATTCCTTGTAACTTATGATTTTTTATTGAAATTATAATATAACAATTATCTATAAAATCCACTGTAATACTACATAGAAATTGGAACAAAATTTTCAAATTTCGACAATTTCAATCCAAAAAGTTTATAATTTTTGAACTCTGTTTTTTTTATTCCAATTTTTGAAATTCGGATTTTTTGATTAATCCAATTTTCTTGGAACAAAATTAGAATTTTATGTTTTACTTAAACATAAATAAATAAAATGGTAAATTAAGATCACATTACTAAAAACTCTTCATATTTGAGTAATTACAATCATCCATAAGCTATGAGAGATTTTCTTCTTCGGAATTTGACGGTACCTCAGTCTGTAATTTACCCAAAATAAAATGATTTGCTCCCAATATTGTTATTTCGATCCGATTAGATATCCACCCTAGGGATATTTTTATCTGAATTCTCTGAAAAGTGATTAAAATATGGCCCACTGAAAATCTTCATAGATTTTCAAAACATCATCATCATCATCATCGTCGTCATCTAAGCTGGTGAAGCTGAGTTCAATTAAGCTATTTGAATGTGCCTTTACGATGAAAGATCAAACTATAACAAGAAAACAAGTTGTCAACACAGAAAGGATTGGTAAGTTTTCTTTTGCGCTACTGTTGAATGTTTTTGTGTTTATATATATACACAAACACACACACGTACGTATGAGGGATGCCTATTACATGTTTGTTGAAATTCCTACAAGAAAACGAGCTCTTAGATATTTGTCTGGAAACTTCCACCGTGTTGTGCACACAATGAATGAATGGCATTCCTTAGTGAACATTTAATTATATTCCTTATGCATCTCATTCTCACCATTGCCTTAAACTTTTTTCCTCGTACTAAAGTGAAGTCTCTAGCTTTGTGATGTTTCCTTAACGACCCCTTGATCGAATTTCAGCTTATCTACATTATCTCGTCTTTCGGTATTTTTGTCAATGCTAATATGATTGTGCTAGCCCAAATCAAGAATTGTTAGGCAGTGTAGACTGTGTAAAGCTCCTATGTTGCGAAGCTTTTGAAATTATAGGCATTTAGTGTACATTATCTTGCTACGTACCGCAAAAGCTAAAATGTAGAAGCATCGTATTCCGAAGTGTGTATATCTTCCGACACACTTCTTAGTATCACACCCTCAGACTAAAAGTTTGTTTACAAGTGTCACTGACGAGTCAACCGAACATCCAAACTGGGACAATGTTTTAGAAGGACATACATACATAATCGAAACATAGTTCCAGTGTATGCACCATAATTACAGTGAAAGAAAACGAAAGAAAACCTGTCAACATTAATGTTGTGCGCTCGTTTCATTCCTATCAACAGGCTCAATCCCCATGCTCGTTATGTGAGACGATTCGCCTTGTTGACTTGTAGTGTCGTTCTCAAAAGCACTTGTAGAATCGGAAACAGAATCTTGTGAGCGATCAGTTGTTGTAGAGACCGATGGGGAGTTTAACGGGCTCTTTCGGCCATCGTCTGTTTTCTTGGACAGGAAAATCTTTAGCCACTTTACTATCTTGCTCCACCTTGTGGATCGAGTGCCTGCGGGCTCTACGATGACACTCCGATTTTCATGTTGGAATTTAATCATGTAATCTGCAAAGGCTATAACTCCGACTATTCCTACAACTGAGAAGAGTACCGCAAAGCTTTCGAGCCCAATACTTTTCGATGAGAGTTGGGTGTTCGAGTCCGAACATTTGGTGCTATCTCCAAACCACTTCCTCTCGATTTCCACCATCTTTTGGCCCTCTGTCACATTCAAAATTGCTCTTGAAACATCAAGTACTAGAGGAGAACCTGTTGGGAAGACCTGCAAAGAAAAAAAATGAGATTTTAGAACGATAAAAAGGAAAATAATTGATAGGAGGGTCGGGTCGCATACAAATCCGAAACCATCAGCCTTGTATGTGGGTCCGACCATCACGTATTTCGAACAGTATTTGCCTAGAAACAGCTTTATGTACGGGATCTCTTGAAAGGCAGCAGCTATTCCACCGTTTCTACTCCCTTTAGAGAGAAGTTTATCCATTTCCTCCGCTGAGTTGAACGGCCGAAGACGGGACTCGTCAAAATTCAATCTTTTCAGAAATCCGAACAAAAACGATCCTTCCATGTAGCCTACGTACTCCTTGTTTTGAATAAGCACGTTTACATCAGTAACTGCTGGCTGCAGCTTCTGGACTGTTAGCATGGACGTAAGACTCGCAGTATAGGTTTGCGTTAGTATAAGTACCACCAGAAACCATATGATCAGTACAGACCTGCCCCATTTGCTTACGACCCTCTCCTCTGCCGAAAAGTACAAAGACGAATATCATGCTAATGTAACCAACATTCAGGAAAAACGAGTATAGTTTAGAAGATGAAAGGAGTCTTACTGTGAGCAAATACCATGGTGGAGAAGGCAAACCAGAATATCATGCCTAGTTGGTGCAAACGAGGACCCCTGAAATCTTCGTTGATTCGATGTTCAAGAATCCAGATAAGAAAACCTATGAAAATGAATGAGCAAAAACTCGTCAACCAAAGTTGCCAAGTCAGTGGCTTTAAAAACGCCAGCACGTTTTTGCCCTTATCGTCTCGGATTGGTACGACCATCGAAACACCAGACTCTTTATAAGGCAGAGTGAAGTCAACGTACTTTGACCTATTTCCTAGAATCGTTACGTCTCCAGCCACAGCATCATAGTTCTGTTGTTCATTGATTATCAAGAAAGTTAATCTTGCTATTATGTCGAAAAAAAAAACGTGCTTGGGTTTTTTTCTTTTTTGTAAATTCATATGAAAGGGGAAGATACTTACTCCAAGGTACACTTGATAGACCAAATCGTTGTAATCTCCAGCCGTCTCGTGTTGAGGTGTCGCAAACGGAACGTATTCGTACGGGACACCATACGGTAGTGCTGACATCACCGCATCAAAAACGTCGACGCAGTATCCTTCCACTTCTATGGAATTGTCGGAATCCCATGTAACACGAACAAACTCGGTGAAACCACCCCTCGTAGGTACTCCTACTCTCAGTTTCTTCCCGTTTGTGGGAATCACCCAACCTTTAGGTGGAGATGATTTGTCGCCCGGCCATGTAACGGGTCCCAGGTTCGACTTTGAAGTTGAATATTTTTTTACGTTTGTACTTGTGAAGTTCGGTTCTTCGACAATTCCATTCTCTTCCGTCCAATATCCTATGTTGCTAGCTGCAGGACCAACTATATTGACTATCTGATACGGAGGTGGTTGGAGTTCGCCTTCGACTAATCGAAAACTTCCAGCAAGGCCTTTAAATGTAATACTTGATAAAGACTGAACGAGCTGTGGTCCGCTCACCGATACGCCAAAGGCTTCAAGATCTGTCGAATTTCTAGACACGTTCGCCTCTCGATATTTATGATTTTCTAGTCTTGTTTTCTCTACCGCCATGGCTACTGCAGTGGCCGCGTCGTAAGCCCGCATCCGATAGATGTCCAAATCAGAAGTTTGAGCTTTTGGACCGATCTGCCGAACCCTTTTCTCGTATCGGATTTTAAAGTCGTCGAGCTCCTTGGTGTTCGGAACATAAGGCCTTACTCCAATTACTCCTCGCATGGACTCGACTACAGAAGGATCCATTGAATTTAAATCGTTCGTGACGCTATCGGTTATCATCCATGCGTACTCTTTACTCATCATTCCTAATTGTTTCGCTTTGGTGAACAGGCGAGAAGCGAGAGGGCTCAGCATGTGGACTACGAAAACTCTAGTCTGCATAGTCATCAGCTTGTAAAGCTCCGCGACAATTTGGTCGTCCGTTGCTAATGGCGGAACGACGCTCCTGTAAGGTACACGCACGCTAACCTTTTCAAGTGCATCGGTCAAAAACGGTAGGATCCCTTCCCCGAACTCGTTATCCTCGTAAATGGGCACAACTTCTCTCCATCCAAAGGCTTGAATAATCGCAACTATGGCACCTACTTGTGAAGAGTCTTTTAGAGTAGCCCGAATAAAATACGGACTCCTAAGCGATGAAAGAGAAGGACTTGTGGCTGAGAAGGTAATAATAGGAACTTGAGCTTTGTGTCCGAGAGAAATAAGGAAGCTAGCCTGTACCGATAACATAGGACCTATGATGGCTTGCACTTCGACATTCTTCAATAAGTGCAGACCTGCATTTCATGTATTCATGAATCGATCATTTTGAACGTTTCATAACAAGACCAAGAAAATCGTTGAATATTTCGTATATTGATTGTCGGCACGGAGTTCTGGCTAAGGGAAAATTGTAATTTTGGTCCCATATGTTGGCATATAACTTTGTAAATAAAGTAAACCTTGATAGATTTTACTTGTGTGGAGACTTAATAGAACTTTGATTTTGTTAGATGACGATTTTGTGAACCAAGTCAGAGGAGCATTTATAATTTTTAAGCGTCCATTAAGTAAGTTTTGGCGAGTTTGTTAGCTACATCGTCACGCAATAGTTAAAATTCAAAGTTCGAGCGAAATAGGACAAAAAACGCTAATTGTGCATAGTTATTGCATGTAAAACTGAAAACTGGACAAGTTAAAGGACCAAAATTACAATTTTCTCTCCTCGAGTCTCGAAGAAAATAACATATAGAAAAACTTGCGAAAATATTGTGTGTGTGTGTGTGTGTGTGTGTGTGTGTGTGGGGGGGGGGGTGTGGGTGTGTGGGGGTGTGGGTGTGGGTGTGTGTTATAGGCGAAGTACCTGCTGCAGCTGCTGCAACAACATCGCCTTTAGAGTCCCGATCGAAGAGAAGCAGCCTTGTCTTATAATGATCGTGCGTAGCATAGAAGTCCGAGAGAGCCATCGATATGTAGTCTAATGTTATCTTTCCATAATTATCCATGTCTAGCACAACCCCGACTCGTACCGGAATGATCTGCGCCGTTGCCATTTTTATCGAGAAAAACTCTGAAGCGAATACGTAAACGAAGAAGAGATACAAAATGGGATTGATCATGCAGCTTGTTTTCTTCTCCATATCTTTTTAATTTTTTATTTTGTAGCTTTTTTTGAGATGGTTTGATTAACAAAGCACACATGTATATGTATGTATATTGGATGTTTTGAACTTGAACTATCCACATCAAGAACTAATTACCAAAATGGGATGTGCTAGCCTGCTATGTGTATTAATATTTAATTATATTATATTATATTTTCACAGTTTCCTCTAAGAATCATTGTAGTTTACTTTTGTGAAGTCAATGAGCTATTCAACAACCTGCAAGATGATTATTTATTTATTTATTTTATTTTTTATTATTTTTTTTATTTGAGAAAAAGATGATGAAATAAAAGGGTTGGTTACTTGGTTTTGATTTTCCTCTTCTGTAAGAAAATATTACATTTGTTATGTTTTGGTTATTAGAAAAAGAAAAAGAAAAAAGAAAAAAGAATATCAGGTGCAAAAGGATTAAACAAGAAGCTTAAGAATCTTGGAGAAAACCAATGAATGTATGTTAAGCTACCAATTTGTATTTTACCATGAAATGATTTTTTTAATTTTTTATATAATAAGTAGCACAGGCCTCTGAGGAGTTTCTGTAATTTATTCTAAAAAGGGTAAATTCCACTTTACCCCCTCATACTCTACCCGAGAACCACTTTACCCCCTCATACTCTCAATTTCATCGATTTACCCCCTTGTACTTGTACAATTTTCCAATACAGCCCTCTCCTTCAACTTTTGGCATTTTGACTCTGACGCCGTTTGGTCAACTCTGTAAATTACAAAATTGCACTGCCTATAACGCATCGTTTCTCCTCCGTTAATATTGTCATTTCTTCTTCTCCCACCACTTCCCCTTCCAAAATATCCCCAAATTGAACCCCTAACTTAGTAAAAATCAAGACCCAATAATTGATCGATTCCACCCAGTGCAAAGAAAAAATATATATGAATGTGCGAAACTTTCTCTTTTCTAATCACGAGAGTCAAAATCGAAAAAAATCAACATTTACGTCAATATTTTGACTCTTGACCAAATGGCATCAGAGTCAAAATCGAAAAAAGTTGACGAAGAGGGCTGTATTGGGAAATTGTACAAGTACAAGGGGGTAAATCAATGAAATTGAGAGTACGAGGGGGTAAAGTGGTTCTTGGGCAGAGTACGAGGGGTAAAGTGGAATTTACCCTTCTAAAAATTATAATCCATTTGGGTTTTATAAATTGGTTTAATTCGGGATTGAGTACTCCAAGTTGCTATACTTGACTTTTACACCCAATAACTTTATAAATTAGTATTGTTGGTCCTATTTTGCCAAACTTTTCAATTTCAACGGCTCAATACTGATGTGACTAACAAGCTTGTCGGATCGGATGTTAAGTAAATATTTATATGATTAAAAGTGGGATAATTACACTTTTGGTCCCTCATGTTTGGCCCGATTTCACTTTTGGTCCCCCTTGTTCCAAAGTGAACAAAGTTCACCTCCAAGTTTCAATTTTAAACACTTTTGGTCCCTACTGTTACATATCCGTTAACAAGTAACCGAAAACACCATTTTGGGGTGGACAGTGAAACTTTCAAATCTCTTGGTGCTGAAAATAATTATAAATTTAGAATAGACTACTTATAATTTTTAATAATAAAATAAAAAATCAACGAAACAAATTATTTTTTAATATACTTAATATTATTATAATTATACTACTTATAATTAATTTTTTAATAACAAAAAAAATTAACTAAACAAATTATTTTAATCATACTTAATATTATTTTTAATTATACTACCTATGATAAAAAAAAATTAATCACAAAAACATAAATTAACTAAACAAATTATTTTCAATTATTATTATTATTATTATTATTATTATTATTATTATTATTATTATTATTATTATTATTATTATTATTATTATTATTATTATTATTATTATTATTATTATTATTATTATTTTTGAACAAATACTTAATATTATTATAATTGTACTACTTATAATTATTTTTTTAATAATAAAAAAGGAAATTAACTAAACAAGTCATGTATAATTATACTTAACATTATTATAATTATACTACTTATAATTATTTTTTTAATAATAAAAAAATTAACTAAATAAATTATTGTGCACTATACAAAATTTTAGTTTTCATTTACTACTTATGATTATTTTTTAATAATAAAAAAAGAAATGAACAATATATTTCATTATACGTAATATTATTAAAAATTTAATTATAAGTACTCTATTTTAAATTTATAATTATTTTTCAGCCACAAAAAAATTTGAAATTTTAATTTTCGCCCAAAATAGTGTTTTTCGTTCTAACGGACATGTAACGGCGGAGACCAAAAGTGTTCAAAATTGAAACTTGGAGGTGAACTTTGTTCACATTGAAACAAGAGGGACCGAAAGTGAAATCGGGCCAAACATGAGGGACCAAAAGTGTAATTCTCCCATCAAAAGTCTATCGATATTGAAATCAAGTTGCAAGTTGATTTATATTTTGGGGTGGCTAGAGCTAATACCAAAATTTTCTTACTTTAATACCACTAAAAATTGACAAAAAATCGACTTGTATGTGTCGAAAATTGTAGGCGAATTTAAAAAAAAAAAAAAACTAAAAAACCGACTTTGATGCTAAAAAAAGACATGAATACATACTTTAATGGGTTCTCATTCCATGTAAACCACCATTTTATTGTCTTGTGACTCTACTTTATAAGTTTTGTAAGGTTTTGATTCTTTTGAATTTTGAGATTTTTTGGAGGGTTTGTAAGAAGACGAAGAAGAAGAGAGGGTTGAGTTTGGGTTTGGGGGAGAAGAAGAGAGGGTTTGAGTTTGGGGGAGAAGAAGAGAGGTTTTTAATTTTTTGTATTGAAATAAGGAAAAAAAATATTTTTTGTACAAATTATATTTTGTTTGATGAGGGATATTTTAGTACTTTGCTTTTAAAAAAATATTTGTGGTATTAATCTAAGAAAAAATGTTAAAAAATTCTCTAAAATATGGTATTGAACTTGGTGGTATTGAAATGAGAAAATTTTGGTATTAGTTCTAGCTACCCTCATATATCTTTTTAAATTAAGGATGTGACTGGATTGGGTCAGTCGATTATTGGCATAAAAATCGACTCATCTGACAAACTATTTTTTGCTCAAATTGAAAATCATTGCCAATTCAACATTGACGGGTCGGTTGATGGTTGACAACTGAATATTTGTTTCAAAATGGATTAGTTAATGCCAACTAGTTAGGCACATTTTGCATAGTGCCAATGTGCCAACATCACTTATTAGTTCTACATAATTAATAGCAATTCGACAAAATATGTCAAACTAATTCTAAATATGCATATTCTACGATAATATCACAATGTCATAATCACTCATGAGTTCATAACAATTAAAAGCAAACACATAACCTACTTCAAACTTCACCGCCTATATTAAAAAATAAATAGAAAAAATACCTTAATTTAGAAAATAAAATACTTTTTGATAAAATTTTATTAATATATTTGGTGTACCAATAACTATCGGTCAACCGACTTTTGATGATATTAAAACCATCAACCAACCAATTATAGATAGGTTGGTTGAAATTTTCGGCCAAATCTAATGGGTTTAGTTAAAAATTTAGTATCCACCTCAAAATATAGTTTGTAATGAATCGGTTAAAAGGTAAAAACCAAATCAGTCTCAACCCTACTTTTAGGTATCAATACAAATGAAATCCAACAAGTTTATTTGCCACATTAGTTGCATAATATTTTGTATAATGACTGTGCCTTGTGTTGGGTAAACTCTTGTTTATACTTTTTATGCTTTCTTATATACTAGTAGTTCGATTGATATAATTTAGTAGTTGATTACCATAATTTAGTAGCTGATTGTAATTTTGTTGGTTATTATCATAATTTAATATTTGGCTACCAGAATTTAATAGTTAGATATCATTACTTTAGTACTTTAATATCACAAGTCATTAATTGAAAACTATGATTTAGTAGTTGCTTACTATAAATTATTAGTAGTTTTTGCAAATAATACTAATTTTATGGGTTGATTTCTATATTGATGGTGGCGGACTTTTGCCAATTATTGATTTTTGCATTTTAGGTGGTGGCACAACTTTTTGTGATTAGTCTTTGTGGGAAGAAATACACATAATAGATTTGTTGGTATATCTTTTAAAAAATTATGTATTAGTGAAAATTGTGATGTAGATTTTAGCAATGAATAAGTTCTTGGCTAATTGTTGATTAAATTGCATGAATTATATGCGACGATTTTATTTATCAACTGCAAGTTAGCAGTCTATTACATTAATCAACTACGATTTTAGGGTTCTTCTGTTACAGTTTAGATTCTTCTGTTGAATCATGTTGAATTTTATTGATTACATTATGATTGTTTTTTTTTTTTTTTTTTTTTTTTTTTTTTTTTTTTTTTTTTTTTTTTTTTTTTTTCCCTTTAAGAACCCAATTTCTTTTGGGGGTTTTAAAAAGGGGGGGGGTTTCGGGGGGGGTTTTTCGGGAAAACCCCCCCCGGCCGGTTTTTCCCCCCCGGGACCGAAAATTTTTTTTTTAACGGGGTTTTTCCCGGGGGGGGGACCCCGGGGCCCCCAAAACGGGGGGGGGCCCGGGAAAAAAAAATTTCCCCCGGGGCCCCGGGAAAAATTAAATACCGGGTGGTTGAAAATTTTTTTTTAAAAAAAATTTTTTTGGGGAAAAAAATTAAAAAATTTTTTTTTTTTTTAAAAACCGGGGTATATAACAATATGTTTTACTTCCCGTATTTGTATCCCAAGTAAAGCAACATCTAATATATTTTGGAAATTTTTTGAAGTGGGATCACTTTTTGAATTAGAAGTATTAAATATTTTTTGGGGAAAAAAAAAGGGGGGGGGGGGGGGAAATAGCAAAACCCGAACCCGAC